ATATATTCTCTGATGAACAGAAAACCTTTAAGATTAAAAAAAGTAAAACTTTCTATCCCCAACGTCACTGTGAAAGAGTTTATTTTGATGACCAAAATGAAATTTACCTGGACTTTTCCAGAACCATCATCAACCATGTTGTGCTGGGCTGCCATGGCCTTGTTGTTATGGAGGCTGGAGGCATCAAAAGGAATCTGCTCCACATGGGCTATTTTTCCAATGGTGTAGGCCTTGGTAGGACCAGTGGTTTGGTCCTTGTCCTTCCAGTTAGAGAAGAACTGCTTGAACAGGGTGGTCTCGCCTCCTGCAGGCAGCACCTGGATCTACAGCATCAAGTATTGAAGGTACAGTATCAGTAAATGTGCCATTAGTTGTTCATATATACAAACAATGAAGAATGTAGATAACATATTTTCAGTCATATTTTATGTAAGATATTATATGAAATCAGTAAGCATAAATATATAAACCTTTTTCGTAATTGTTTACATGGCTTCTAAATGTAGATTTCTACAAACCAGAATATTTAAATACTAATAAAAACTCAATTACAAGAATAAACTGATAAGCAATGGATCCATTTCTTTGATTGTCAATAGTATGTGTGTTTAAAATCATTATGTATGTACCTGTGTTTTACTTGAGTAATTCTTCTCTTTGATGAACTGCTCTGCTGCTTTCATAGCCGCTTTGCGTTCAGATGTGTTTGCATTTGGTCCTGTTGGCAAAGGGAAGACAGAGGCATATGGTAAATGAAGCTCTTTCATTTTTATGAAAAATATGTGGTGCATTTAAACAAAAGGGCCCCTAGTCATGCTGTGTTGTATGTCAGCACTATGAAAAAACTCAAAGATGGTATCAGTCTGACATCTCTATAATACTATATAAGAGATGTAAGAACAGATATAGGGCAGATTCTATTTCTAAACAGATTCATACAATTGGCTGTTGAATAATATTAATTTAAGGAAATAGGCCACCCAAAAATTAAAATAGTGTCATCACTATCTGTTTCTGTGGAACAGAAAAGAAGATATTTTTGTACCCAAACAGTTTTGGGTCCCATCGACTTTTTAGTATTTTATGTCCATGTTATGGAAGTCAATGGGACAAGAAACATTCTTTTATGTTTGGTTTGGTTACCAACATTCTTCAAAACTTTTTTTGTATTCCACAAAAGAAAGTAAGTCATGCAGGTTTGGAATGACATGAGGGTGAGTAAATGATGAC